GGGTACAGCAGGATTAGGGGGTACAGCAGAGTTATGGGGTACAGCAGGGTTAGTGGGTACAGTAGGGCTAGGAAATAGAGGAGGATTAGGTGGTGCTGCAGGGTTGGGGGTACAGCAGGATTAAGAGGTACAGCAGGGTTGGTGATACACCAGGATTAGGGGGTACGGCAGAGTTAGGGGGTACAGCAGGATTAGGGGGTACAGCAGGGGTAGGAGGTGCAGCAGAGTTAGAGGGTACAGCAGGGTACCCCATAGCCAAGACCATGGGGTGGGGACCACTCCAGCACCTTCCTCCCACTGAGAATCTCTTAGGGAGTGAGCAGGGCTGACTGCTGAGTTGTTTGCTCACTTTTCCCATTCAGCAGTGTAAATCTGCACTGCAGCCAGCTAGAATATCCCTTTCAAAAGTATCCCCACGGGGCTGCAGATGCCACTGTGTTCCCAAAACCCTGAAAATCACTTTGCCCCTGAAACAGGACCTGAAGCTCCTACCCTGCCACAGGCACAAAGGTGAGTTAAAATCAGGCTGTGCCCTGGGTTAAACTCCAATAAATCCCTAAACATGATGTCCCCAGCTCCCCTGAAAGGCTTTGCATGGCTGGCTGGGAGCAGTGTCCCCACCTGCCCCTGTGTGGCAGGAGAAGCCACTCAGCACCCACCCACAAACAGCTTCAGCTTTTGGGATGCCAGCAGAATTCCACAGCATCCCGAGGCTGCACGCCCACCCCAGCAGGTGCCCAGGTGAGCAGGGACAGGGGAGTGCACCCTACCTGATCAGCCTCCCGTTCTCCACATAGTACTGCACTCGGAAGTGGATGATCATCGGGGGGCCAAACTGGTCGATCCCCTGGAATGGAGGAGATTTTCAGGGTTCCTGTGGAAACCCCGGCATTGTGCCCCAGTCCCTCACCTCAGCTCTCTGGGGGTCATGTCCTTCATGGTCAACCCTTGCCCCACATGGGCGGGTTCACTCCGGTGGCATTTTTTTTCCTCAGTTAAGAGTCTGACACTCATTTTTCCCCCCCAGGTCTGCTGGAACTCGAAGGGGATTTGGGTTTAAAGAAGCAGGTGGCTGGGTTTCAGACCCCCAGGGGGTCTGCATCCCCCCACCACTGCTGCTATCCCTCTCCCAGTCCATTATCCACCAGTCCCCATCTCAGTGCCAGTGCTGGAGCCTTGACACCAACCCCTTGGCACGTGGCACTGAAATAATGAAAAGGTTCTTTGGGGAGAGGGAAAAAAAACCCAAATCTATTTTAGAAATCGGAAGAAGGGACCTTAAAAATTCTGCTGAAGGAAGGAAGGAAAAAAAATGGCACTTGGAGTGCCAACCATCAACCACCACCCTGTTTTCACTCATTTTGCACATCCACCCCCCATCTCCCACACTGGCTAAGTGCCCCCCCCACACACCCCTCGGCTGCATTCCCGGGTCCTGGAAGTGACCTGCGACGGGGACAGAGGTGGCCTTACTGCCGTCAGCTCTCCATGCAAGACCTCACCGCTGACCTTGCTGGCCTCCTTCTTCCACTCCTTGGGGCAGTACTTGTAGAGTTTCTGGGCCATGTCCATGTACACGTGCTCATTGTCTGCGTGGGACAGAGGTGGCATCAGCATCCCCACGTGTGTCCGGCATCCCGCCAAGCCCTGCCCCGACCCCACCCTCCTCATCACCTAACGAGGCCACCAAAAGGGGTAATTTGGATGCACCCCCAACCTGGTGGCGTCACTTCTTGCTGAGCAACGATGGCATCAGGCTGAACCACCAAACCCATGGCATGAGCCCCTGACTTACTCTGGATGACGCTGAGCCCGAAGAGGTGACAGTCCTTCAGCCTCAGGAGGTCACACACCTGCACCAGTAACTCATGGCACAAAATCTTCACCTGCAGAAAGAAACACCCCGTGAGTGGTCCTGGCTGCACCTGTGCCCACCTGAGCTGGGCAGGCACCACCGAGAAGGATGGGGGGGGGGGATGACAGGCTGGGCTGTGGGGTTCAGTATTCCATGGGGTCATTATGGAAGTCTGCAAAAGCCTGGGGTGCTTTGAGCAGAGCAGAGCTCTGCCAGGGACCATGGGGCAGCTTGAGAGCAGTGGGTGGTGGAGGAGCCCTGCACTGGGGAGACGATTTTGGGGGCAGAAAACAGAACATTCATAGAATCATAGAATCTCAGAATGGTTTGGGTTGGAAGGGACCTTAAAGATCATCCAGTCCCACCCCCTGCCATGGGCAGGGACACCTTCCACTAGACCAGGTTGCTCCAAGCCCCGTCCAGCCTGGCCTGGAAAACTTCCAGGGATCCAGGGGCAGCCACAGCTTCTCTGGGCAATCTGTGCCAGGGCCTCACCACCCTCACAGCCAAGAATTTCTGTATAACACCTAATCTAAATCTCTTCTCTTTCAGTTTAAAACCATTCCCCCTTATCCTAACACGATCTGCCTGTGTACAAAGTCGCTCTCCATCTTTTTTATGAGCTCCCTTAAAGTCCTGAAAGCAATTTCAAAATTTTCCTGCATCAAAAGAAACACCGGGCAGTGGTGAATTAAAAAAAAAAAAAAAAAAAAGTGGGGGGAAATTCGCATTCCAAGCTGCATCCAAACCAGAGCCAAGCCCCCTCCTGTTTATTCCCTGGGAGGCTGAACTGCCATCCAGAGTGGATTGTGGAGCGAGGGCTTGAAGGAGGGGGCTTGTGCCACCCCGTGGGATGCCAAGCAGCAGGTCACCCGCCGACAAACACGCTGCTGCCAGCGGAACATCGAGTCAAGAAGAGGCAGGAGAGCGTAAAACGCTGCCGCAGCCTTAGGGGGAATAACTCCTGTGCATTTCTCCGGCAGGGCGGGAGCAGGCAGGCTCGGGATCAAATCCACCGGCAAAACCAGAGCGTGCAAATGGTTGCAAGCCCCCGGGTGTGATGAAAATGTCAGTGCTCAGGGGGTTCCCCAGGCCTTCCCCCCCACCCCGCCATCCCCCGCGCTGCCTTACGTTGATGATGATGTTGAGGGAGTCGTCGTTGGGGAGGAAGATGCAAACGCTGCGTCGGTCCTGCATGACTCTGTTGTTGTGGAAGGTCAGTTTGCTCATCGTGCTCGGGGCTCGGGGTTCGGGGGGGCTGGTGGGGGGCACCTCACCGACGGGCCGGGGCGGCCTCGGTCCCCGCGGGCGCCATCCCTGCGGGACAGAGCGGGGCTGAGCCCTGTGCGTGGCACCCCCAGCTCCACACCCCCCTTCCCCCCCCCCAGCCCCCCCCCCCCCCCCCCCCCCCGAGAAGCAAGGTGTCCCCCAAAACCCCTGAGCACACCCCAGCACAGCCAACCCCCAAATCCCAAGCCCGGCGCCGCGGTCAGGGCAGGATCGAGGCCCAGCCCGAAAAAAACTGAGCCAGCAGTTTTGTTCCCCAGGCTCGGGTTCAGAAAAACCTCAGGAAAGGCTTTCCTGGCATATTTCAAGCAAATAAAAGTTTATCTGCTGGGAACAACCCAGCTGTGCCAGCAAGGAGCAGTGTGGGACGCAGGAGGTTCCCCTGCCAGCTGCAGAAAGGCAAGGAGATGGTGTGGGGTCCCAGAACAGGACCCCCACATCCCTTCCAGTTCCAACTCTTTACTGGGGTTAAATAAAACCATCCAAGCACTAACAGCGATTTGCAGATGGGAACTGCCATTCAGAGCTGGTGAATCCATCCTGACACTGACCCCACGCAACCCTCATTCCCAAGGGTGAATATTCCTTAAGCACCTTTTACCCCACGACCAACCATCCGCAGGGACACAAATTCCCACGTGACACCACGAGAAAGGACCTTTAAACTCTAAACCAGTTCAGCCTTTTCCTAACCCCCAGATTTACGCTGGCACCAGGACAGCAGAGTGTCTCCCTTGTCACCAAATATTTGCGTTGGTCTAGATGGAAATGCCTTTGGCTTCCGAAAGCCTGGAACTTGCATGTTTGTGCAGCAGGGAAAAAGCGCCCCAAGGTGCCTTTTTTTTTGGTGGTGGTGGTGGTTCCTGGGGTTTTGCAGAAGTTGGGAAACCCGGAGGTGATGCTCTGTCTCACCACCACGGCAATTTGGGTCTGCACCACCGAGGCCTCGCCCAGCACTGTATCCATGTATTATGGATTCTGTGCATTGCATCCAGGTATCTCAAACATGCATCTCATTCCATGTGTTGTGATGGTGCATCGTGGCTGTGCATCATGCCTGTGCACTGCATCCGTGCATCACAGCTGTGCATCATGGCCCTGCACGGCACCTGTGCACTGCATCCATGCTGTGCTGTGGCCACGTGCTGCATCCATGCACTGCATCCATGCATTGTGGTGGTGCATCATGGCATCCATGCATTGCATCCATGCACTGTGGCCGTGAATTGCATCTACATTTTGGCACCTGTGCATTGTGGTGGTGCACCATGGCATCCATGCATTGCATCCACCTACCACAGATACGCATCACGGCCACGCGCTGCATCCATGCGTTGTAGCATCCATGCATTGTAGCATCCATGCATTGTAGCATCCATGCATTATGGCCGTGCATCGTGGCATCCATGCACTGCATCTCTGTGTCACAGTCGTGCACCTATGGATTGCATCCATGCATGGTGACATATGGTGAATGTGCACTGCCTCCAAACATCACGGCCACGCATCGGATCCATGCGCTGCATCCGTGCATCTTGTGAACTCCGGCCATGTATTGCATCCATGCATAATGGAATCCATGAGTTGCATCCATCCGTGCATCATGGCCATGCACTTCACGTACATGTTGCATCCATGTGCTGCATCCATGCATTGTGGTGCTGCATCATGGATTCTACGTGCTGCACCCACGCATCACGCGCCACACCCATGTGTTGCATGCGTGTTTTGTGGCATCCACGCATTGCATCCGTGCATCACAGATGTGCATCGTGGCCGTGCATTTCATCCCTGCATCGTGATGATGTGCTGTGGCCCTGCATCAGGGCTGTGCACTGCAGCCACGCATTGCACCTGTGTGTTGCATCCGTGTGTCGTGGCCTCGCATTGCATCCCTGCATTGCAGCGGTGCAGCGTGGCATCCCTGCATTGCAGCGGTGCAGCGTGGCACCTCTGAATTGTACCTGTGCATTCTGACATCTGTGCATTGCATCTGAGCATCGTGGCTGTGAATTGTGGCCATGCACTGCATCCATGCATTGTGGCAGTGTGTTGTGGCCATCTATTGCATCCATGCATCGTGGTGGTGCATTCCGAGATCCGTACATTGAATCCATGCATCACAGCTGTGTATCGTGGCCATGCATGGCCCCTATCCATAGTATCCATGCCCTGTGGCCATGCATTGAGGCTGTGCCTTGCCCCTGTACGTCGTGGCCACGTGTTGCATCTGTGCTTGTGTTTGTGCACCGTGGCTGAGCATCCCGGCTGTGCCCAGACACGACTGATCCCGACCGGAGCAAACAGCACCCGGCTTGCTTTCAAGGTTCATTAACAGCCCCAGGAGTGAACGAAACGGGGTTGAAAATATTTGGCAAACATCCTTTCCCGGCCCTGTGCCCAGCAGCTCCCGTGCCCTGACGCAGGGCTGGGCGTGACGCGACTTGCAGGGGTTGTGATGAGGAGGAGCCACATCCCAGGCAAAGCAGCTGCATCCCAGGGCACCCTCCGGCACCCTCTGTGCCCTGCTCCCATCCAAAGGTATCCTGCAGCCCCAATGGATTCATGAGAGCACCTTCTTATGGCAGCTCTGTGGGCTACAGCTGGCTCAGAACTACAGTCACTTCTGAGTTATGGTGAATCCATCACAGGGATTCTCTGCCGGCCATCGGCCCCCACCCAGAGCTTCCCCATGGCACCACGGTGCTCTTAGCATCATGGAATGGTTTGGGTTGGAAGGGATCTTAAAGACCATCCAGTTCCACTGCCCTGCCATGGGCAGGGACACCTTCCACCACACCAGGTTGCTCCAAGCCCCATCCAACCTGGCCTTGGACACTTCCAGGGATCCAGGGGCAGCCACAGCTTCTCTGAGTAACCTGTGCCAGGGCCTCCCCACCCTCACAGCCAAGAATTCCTTCCCAATATCCCATCTAACCCTGCCCTCTGGCAGTGGAAAGCCATTCCCCCTTGTCCTGTCACTCTATGGCATCCCAGGGCTGTTCATCCCCAGTCACTGTATTTTCCCCTCCTATTTCCCCCAGCCTGGATTGTTCCCAGAGCATGAGGGATGCAGCCCCACAAGCTGCCTAGAGCAGAACACAGATATTGGAGGAAAAAAACCCAAACCATACTTTTTGGTATTTCTTTAGAAAACACCCCAGTTCCTGCTGCTGAATGAGAACATTCCATCAGCTGACCACACAGGGATGGTCCCTGTGGAGAACCCCCTCAGTTCTAGGAGCTTCCCCAGGGGCTCTGCCAGCGCTTGGAGCTGCACAGATTTAGCAAGAGGGCACACAAAGCCCTTTCCAGGGTGCTGTGCCTCCAGCAGCCTCGGCCAGACGCCGGCAAATTCTTTCCAAGCATCTGCTGCTCATTCCGACAATGTCAGCTTTGATTCCCTGGGACCCCGCGCCGCTGCCCTTGGAGTCGTTCCTGCTCCGGCGGAAGCGTCGATATGAGGCACAAACAGAGAACCATGGAATGGTTTGGCTTGGAAGAGACCCTTAAAGATCCAGTCCAACCTTCCTGGCTCCAAGCTGGAAAGATCCTGGATTGCTCTCTCCCTGGAGAGCCCCCCTGGGTTGCCACACAGGTCATCCCACACTCCAAGTGGGAACCTCCACCCCAGGCAGTTTTCCAAAGGGTTTTCCATCCAGAGAGCAAAGCCAGCTGGAAAAAACACTGCGAGCGAGGACTTGGGCATGGATCAGCCTCTGCAGTTCCAGGAGATTCAGCTCTTCCAGCCACGTTTTCCATGCTATAGGGAAAAGACCACTAACATTCCACAGGAACACACTGCAAATCCTTTGTAGCTCCAGAGAAAATTCCTCGATCCGCCGTGTTTTCCAGCCCAGGCTGCTGGAGTACTGTCTCCCTCCCTCGTACTGATGCCATGGGATAAATCCTGCCACAAAGCTCTGCTGTAAAGAAAACATCACGCCACGAACCTGCTTGGAAAAGCAGCCGGGGCCGGCGCTGCTGACTCGGCGAGGGATTTATTCATCCCGGGATCCTGCAAACACTGAGGGCAGGGAGAGGCTGGGCTTGGTTCAGATGGAGGTGCTGGAGCAGCGTGACAGGCTCTCATTGGAAATACAAATTTGGATGCAATTCCAGGCTGGGGGTTTAACATCACTTGAACTTGCCGGCTGAGGTGGGGTTTTGCTCCGAGCACGCAGATTCCATGGATGAGAAGAGAGGCTCAATGCACAGGCAGCATTTTCCCCACTCCATACATTCAAAAGAAGCAGATAGGTCTCTATCCTGATGGGTTTGGGTCAGGTTTGTACCCCTGTGGCACCCACCAGACATCACAGTGCCCCCTGCTCAACCCAGCCATGATCTGCAGCCTCCAGGCAGATCCAGCCCATTTCCCACCATGCAAATTCATCCCCTCCTTGCCAAAATATCCATTTTCTTTAAAAAAAATTGTCCTGTCAGATATCTCCATCCCTGGAGGGATTTAAAAGCCATGTGGGGACGTGGCACTTGGGAACATGGATTAGTGGTGGGCTTGGCAGTGCTGGGGGAATGGCTGAACGTGATCTTAGAGGTCTTTCCCAACCTAAACCGCTCCACGATCCCATGATTCCAACCCACCCCCGGGCTTTTGTTCCAGCCCTCCTGAACCACAACAGGGGCGAGGGAAGGGATCCAGCACAGGACCCACACGTAGGCACGGGCCATCCCTCAGCCAGAGGCTGCCCAGAGCGCAGAGGGAGATGGGAAGGTGAATTCACGGGGCAGGAATTTCTGGTTTTTAAGCGTTTGGAGTGGGTCTCACCCCACATCATAGGGCTCAGGTATGTGCAGAGCTGTTATTACAAGTTTTAAGGCCGTCACTTAATGCAGCTTCTCCAAACCCAAAAGCCAGATTAATTCCTGCTTGCGGTTGCCCCGTAATTAAAATCGTCTCCAATTCTTCATGAACTCAACAGTTTCCTCCTAATGAAGGGAGGCAGATGAAAGAGACCTTCACTGGGAAAAAGGACTCGGTTATAAATATTCCATTACTTCATCCGCCACAAAAGCTATTTGGATGCTGGAAACTCAGCCTGGGCAGCCGGGGGCCAGCCCCCACCAGCCCCAGCAGATACCCCCGAGTGCTGGGGGTATCCAAAAAGCCTCTCCAGGGAAGGTTCCCCCAGGAGCTCGCCTGTCTCCACCTCTGCAACACTCCTCCTCTTCCTCCTCCTCCTCCTCTCCTTTGCCTGCTGCAACGGGACAACAGCAATGGGCAGAGTGGGTGCTTGGGACACCTGGGGATGGCTGAGCCAAGTGCATCATCCCAAAAATGGGATAATGGCCCCTCGGTCCTGCCCTGCTGGTGACAAGCCCCATGGGACATCACATTCCGTAGGAAAACACATGCCAAGCCACGGCAGCTCAGGAAACTGCTCCCCTGCTCATTCTTCTGTTGTGCACAGAGCCGAATCCAGCCTGGAAGTGCAGATTTTCCATTCAACCTGAGGAAGAGCCATCCCAGGCCTCTTCATTGCCTTACTTTGGAGCACTATAGTATAAATAAAGCGTCCCAGCCTCCGCCAAGGATGGACACGGAGATGGATTTCTCCTGGCAAAGGCTCCAGCGAGGGAGGGACGGCGCCTGCTTTTCCTCTTCCCTCTCCCGCTATAGAACCAGCCCCTTCCATCGTATTTCCTTCCGGCAAACTTTGCCTGAGTCGTTGGGACTAGAACAATATCAAGACTGGGTTGGAGAGGGTCGTGCTCAGGACAGCCCAGCTCTCCCAGCCGACTCCAGCTCCTGTCCCCCAGCATTCCCAGGAGCTTTATGAACCATCCCCCAGTGTCAAGAAGCCCAAACCTCCCAGAGTCCGATCCCTCTCTCAGGAGACCACAGGCATCACACTGAAGGATGCACATGGATGTGAAGAATTGCCTTTGCTCCCCTCTCCGTGGGCAGGCTGCAGCCCACACCAGCAGCAGCTGCCATAAATCCCTTGGGATTTGGCTGCGGGATCCCTGGACCACAAAGCAGCCCTAAGGGCCAGAGTCACCATCCCGAATCCCTGCGCCACAGAAAGCACAGCCCTGATTCTCCAAACCATGGACCTCCCTCTTTATGAATTAGAACAATATTTTAAATATAATTAACGATATAATTGAATTAATAGTGTTGTGTGATTATTAATATTCATAATATGCAATTACAAATATTCATGTTATTTTATACAATAACACACCCCCAAGACGCTCTGACCCCGGGCAAACCCTTCCCAGGATCCTGCTCCCAGGCACACTCCTCAACATGGGATCAGAGCCCAAACCCATTCCCACTCTGGGGAACGTGCGCTGCTCGGTGCACAGGGAGAGTAAAAACAGAGGGAGGATGCGAAGTGCTCTGCAGACAGTCCAGAGCCCAAAAACCAGCTCCATTTTATGCCAAAACACACAAACCCAAGCCTGGACTATCCGGAGCCCCCACTGCCCTCCGTGGCGTCCTTGCCTCCAGCTCCAAATCCAGCAAAACAAAGCCAAACCAAGTTCCTTATTTTTTTAATCCTGGAGCGGGCAGAGGGGGATTTATCTTCCCCCAGCAGCGCCACTCTCCAGTTTTCCAGCTGGGAAAGCTCCTCAGCCACTCCACAGCCTCCATCAACTTCCCTGCCCCAGCAGCAATGGGGAAAATATCTTCGGGAAAAATAACCTAAGCCCACTTTTCAGTCAAGGAGGGAAAAAAAAGCAGCCTAAAACTCAATTAAGGAGCAGGCAGATATTTTAACCAGCGCCATGGTTTGTATACTCCATCTGGAGTCCAAAGGCTGACGGGTTTTTTTTTTAGCAGGAGGGAACTGACATCATCTTAATTTCAAATTCCCATTTATTTTTACATCTGGTCTGAATTAATCTTTCTCAGCGTCCTGACTTTCATGTAATGGAATAATTGCTTACAGACTCGGGGTTTAAAGAGCCTGAATAAACCCAGTTTAAAAAAAGAAACTCCTTTAAAAAACGATAGTAAAAATCCAGTACCTACAACCAAACCCCAACACGCCTTCGGGATTGGGAATTTTAAACGGAACATCGCTTTCAAGCAAGAGAGCTCAAATTAATCCCAGCTCTATCCAAGAATCAGAGAGGGTGAGCGAGCCCTGTGGAAAAACACCAACACAAACCAGCCCGGAATTATGGAGAGCAGCAAAGCTCCATCAGTGCCGTGCTGAAGCATCTCTGGAAAATTATCTCTGGAAAAGCAGAGTTTGGTTTAGGGAGAAAAAAAAACATCCTCATGGCCAGAAAGGCATTGGACACGGGCAGAAAAAGGGGGATTCAGGAATGGGAGATGACAGTGAAGGTGGTGGGGAGCGGGGGGCACGGAGGGGCCAGGACATGCCTTACTCCCACATGTGAGTCAAAGGACACGGGAACACCAAGTATGGTCCTGGGAAACCTCAGCTCCAGCCTGGGAAACCTCAGCCCTGGTTTCCCTGCTGCCACGAGGGCACGGTGTCAGATAAAGCCTGATTTAGGAGCGACATGGATTTATCCCCACCGCTTCCAGAACATGGCAGGGATTCACATCCCCGGTGAGACACACGGAGAAGACCATCAGTGACACTACCAGGAACCACCAGCTGGCACCCCCAGCACCCCCACGGGGTGAGGGGCACCCACGGACAACGGGGTCCCACGGGTGCCTGTGACCCAGAAACAGGAGGATCCATGGATGAGAGGAACACAGGTAAGGGAGCCAAGAGATGATGGGAACCAGGGGTGAGGGTGCCCGTGGGTGAAGGGATGGGTGGGTGAGTGTGATCCATGGGGTGAGGCGTGCCATGGGCAAGGGGGTGTTTGGGTGGGTGTCACCCAGGGACAAGGGGACCCGCGGGTGACTGTGAACCAGGAATGAGGGGACCCGTGGGCAGAGGGACCTGTGGGCGAGTGTGACCCACGAGCAAGGGGTGTCGTGGGCGAGGGGTCCTGTGGGTTATTGTGTGACCCAGGGATGAGGGGACCCGTGGGCAACTGTGACCCACGGGTGAGGGGACCCGTGGGAGAGAGTGACCCATGAGCAAGGGGGTCCCAAAGGCAAGAGGACCTGTGGGCGAGCGTGACCCAGGGAAAAAGGGTCCCACGGGTGAGTAAGACCCGTGGGCGAGTGTGACCCAGGCACGAGGAGACGCGTGGGTGAGTGAGACCCGCGGGCGAGTGTGACCCAGGGACAAGGGGACCCGTGGACAAGTGAGACGCGGGGGTGAGGGGTCCCACAGACGAGGGGATCCGTGGGCGAGTGTGAGCCATGGGCGAGGGGTCCCGCGGGCGAGCGCGTCCCTGGAGCGCACCCTGCACCAGAGCGGGTCCGGCGCGGCCGTGGCGGGGCCGTGGGGGTGCGTGGGGGGGTCCGGCGGGGCAGCCCGGCCCCGCTCGGCCGCAGCTCCCGCGGGCGGGCGGAGGAAATGACTCGCATTCCTGCAGCCGGGGCCGCTTCGCTCCGCTCCGGCTCCAACTCACCCCCGAGCGCAACAAGCGGCCGCGCCGGGCCCACCCGCGGGGGCGAGCGGGGCCGGGCTGAGCCGGGCCGGGCTGAGCAGAGCCCAGCCGAGCCCCAGCCGAGCCGAGCCCAGCCGAGCCAAGCCAAGCCGAGCCAAACGGAATGGAACCGAGCCGGGATGAGCCGAGCCGGGAGCGCGGTGCGGGGCGCCGGGCACGCACCTACCTGCGGCTCCGGGGACCGCGCTGCCTTGCCGAGCCCTGTCGAACCCCGCCGTGCCGTGCCGAGCCGAGCCGTGCCGAGCCCAGCCCAGCCCAGCCCATGCCACCGCCCCCGCCCCTTCCCGGGCCGCCCCGCACCGCCCCGAGCGGCACCGGCACCGCCTCCCGCCCCGGCGCGGTCCCCGGGACAGCGGGGGAACGAGAAGGGAATGGGGTGGCCCGGGTAGGGCACCCCAAGTGTTGGCCCCGGGGGAGGCGTGGGAAGTCGGGCACCTCTCGCCCCGGTCCCGTGTTCCTGGGGGGGATTCACGAACAGGCTCCGGAAAGAGCCTGAGCATCCCCCGGCAGGGAACACGGGAACTGTCCTTGGGAGAATTGAGCAGGGAGGGGGATCCAAGATTCGACAGAGGGTAAACCCACTCAGAGGTGCTCAGGAGAGGAGCTGGGAATCATCCTGCGGGGACAGGGTCCAGGGGAGGGTCAGGAAGGTGCTCCCAAGGCTGGAGGACCTCTGTTCTGGAGACAGGCTGGGAGAGCTGGGGGTGTTCAGACTGGAGAAGAGAAGGCTCCAGGGAGACCTGAGAGCCCCTTCCAGTGCTTGAAGGGGCTCCAAGAGAGTGGAGGGGTACTTTGGACAAGAGCCTGGAGTGACAAGACAAGGGGGAATGGCTTCCCACTGCCAGAGGGCAGGGTTAGATGGGATTTTGGGAAGGAATTGTTGACTGTGAGGGTGGGGAGACCCTGGCACAGGATGCCCAGAGAAGCTGTGGCTGCCCCATCCCTGGATGTGTTCCAGCCAGGGGAGGGACTCACATGTCCCACGTGGGGACCCAAACATCCCTGGAGAGTGGAGCCCAAACACCCCCTGCACCCATCGCAGTATCCCCAGCCCTTGCTGTGCCACTGGCACATCAAGCCAGTTCTCGACCAGGAGTCAGGTTGAGGCAGGAGCAGAATTAGGGCCAAATCCCATTCCCATTAAATCCCCCACTGCTGCCCTGGCAGCTGGATAAAGGTGAGTTGGGCCCAGCCGCCCCTCAGAGCACGTAACGGAGCCGACGCACACACGGATCCCTCTCCATAGGTGACCCAGGACGGGAATAGCAACAGCAGCAGCACCATAAATTAGCAGCAAAGCATCTCCGAGCCTGCTCCTTCTTCAGAAGTGCCATCTGGCGAGATTGTTTTTGGAGTAGTTATTTATTCCTCACTTTCAAGTGTCTACAGGCATTTTTCGGGATGACCTGCGAGGCCGGCTCGGCCCCCACAGTCTCTACGAGGCTCCGGGAGGGAACAGCCGCTTGTTCCCAGGCCTAAATAAAGAGCAGCTCTGCTGTGAACACCCCGACACTCATTGCTGAAATCTGTTTGCAGCTCAACAGATCGTGCTGGGTAATTACATTATGTGAGTGCAAGGTACCAGCAGTGGGAATCCAACGCGCCGCTCTCCTCATGGAAAAAAACAGCCTGGCTTTCGGCAGGGGCTGGAAAACTCTCAGCTTTGGGCCCTCTCTCATGATCCCATCCATGCCATGTGGAACTGGGGAGTGTTTCTACCCAACAGCTCCTGCCTGTGTGGCATCCAGTCCTTGCAAAGCCACTGAGGCCAAATGCCACCGATGCCGAGGGCACGGGCAGTGTGTCCAAGCAGAGCCCATCATTCCAACCAGAAATGTCCTCTTTCCCCCAAAATTCACTCTGGAAACACCCATCCTGCCGCTAACACAGGGGCATAACCAGGCAAAGCTGCCATTTGGCTCATTTATCCCAATTTAAAGGTTGGGGAGGCACGAGCGGGACACAGCCCCGCCGCTGCGGCGCTTGAGGAGGACGAACTGGTCCTGTTGAGCGCATTCCCTGCCCCATCACATCCTCCCCCGGCCTCATGGAATACAGGAATACAGAATCCCAGCGCCTGCCTTGCCGCAGAGGCTAAATAAAGCAGCAGGAAGAGCTCTCGAATGCCAGCGAGGCGATATATAAACATCGACGTGGATGGCGCGTGTGCTAATGCTGCTCTGGAGCCCAGGAGAAATGTCTCGTCTCATACCAACGTGAGAGGCTCCCATGGCCAAAGGAAAATCTCCGGGAAAATCCACGCTGAGCGTGAGCCATCCCAGGCTCTGCGACGTGGGGAGAGCTCGGAAAGATGGAGCTTATCCAGTGTCCGGTCTTGTCTCTCCTCTTCGGGAAAGGAAAAGCCCGAAGACTCCGGCGACATTTCTCTAACAATCCTGGAATTAATCTCCCTCAAGGTCCCAAGAAGCGGAAACGCAGATGGAAAAATGTAATAAATAAAATTCTTTTTGGTTTTGGTCTGCTTTTTTTTTTTTTTTTTTCGGATACGGTTTAACTGAGCTAATGGCATCACTAGGCCTATCTTTTTTAGGGAGAAAAAAAAGGGTGTTGTGGCTATGACTGAAAATACCATTCCCATAAAACAGACAGATTTTTCTCGCACTGGGATGTGTTTATATGAAGAGGAGGGGAAATAGCAGCGGCTCACTGTGATCCTGCATTATCACCATCCAAGAATCTCCCATCCCAGCCTTTCAATACCAGCTTTGTTACTGGGCAGGGATGGGCACAGGGATGTGGGAGCTCTCTTATCTCAGAGTTTCCCTCTGAGATTTTGTTAATGGCATAAAAATTATAAACAAAGCAACAGAATAACAACTAAACCCATCCGGGTCTCCGCATCCCGCTCCATTTCCCAAAGGCTGATGGATCAGCTGTGAATCCCCTGGGGCTGTGCTGTCGGTGCTCAGCACCCACTTTTAGGGATTTTTGGGATGTCCTGCTGGGAAAATTCACCCTGGAGCAGCAGCGTGGGGACCTCAGCACTGACCATGAGCCTCGTGGGGTGCATTTGGGGACAGGGGCGTCACCGCTGCTCGATGACACCTGGCACAGGATCAGGGCTCCAGCTCTGGCTGCAGCTGGGATTTAGAAATTCCTCCCCGGACGAGAGAGGAAAACAAATCCCAGCTACTGTGAGCAGGCTGTGCTGGAGCTGGGGATGGTTTCTCAGCCCATAAGGGGAAGAAATTAAATAAAGAAACCCCGGCACGGAGCCACAACAGCCGGTGTGTTGCTATAAACTCCGGCGAGGAGCTGGACCCTGCTCTGGTTCCTGCATTTCACGGGGATTTCTGAGGAAGCTCTTCCTCCCTCCCCATCCAGGCTGGGGTGGGCATGTCCCTGTTACCCCACCATGGAAGCAACCAGGACAGAGGGACCCCTTCCAGCACTCTCTGCGCCATTTAGGAGAATTCCATCTGATTTTTGGCCATAAAGACCCACTTCACAGAGACGTAATCAAGCCTGTGCTTTAATTGGGTTTATAATTAAAAGCTTGAGCACATATTAGGACCCCTTCTCAGGGGTTTTGCCCTCATTCTGCCCCACTTTCCTATTTGCTTGGATGTACCCCATGAGGAAGTGAAACCCCCCCCTAGAGCCTCAACTCCACCCATCCCAGCTGAGCTGGGAAATCCAGTACCCAGCGTTCAGGAGCCATCCCTGGTGGTGCTGAGCATCCCCACTTGGCTCCAGGGAAAGGGGGAGCATCCCTGGGAATGGCCAGGGCACCCGGGTTCAGTACCCAGGTGGTGTCTGGGAGCAGGATGGCCCATTGATCGTGCTGGCAGTGTCACATAGCCATTGGAGCTGGAGCAGGAATGCTCCCAGAGGGGGTGTTGCCATCGGATTTTAGCTGGGGGATGGGGGGGGTGTCAGTGTATTTAGTATATTTAACTGGCCCCCAAAAAGTCCCCCCCCATTTACCCTGCCAGGTTTTGCCTGGGAAGTCAGCAAGGACGAAAATAAAAAAAAAAATAAATAAAAAAAAAAAGGAGTTTCAAGAGATTTAAGTCCAACGAGGCTGGAAAGAGAGAGAAAATCCAACCTGAATACCCAAGTGTTGGAACCGTCACGAAAATCCAAGCGTGCATCCGGCAGGGAAGCATCCCCCGGGCTCGGTGCTCTGCCGGCAGTGCTGATACGGTATATTCTGCTAATCTACCCCGCAGTATTTACAGCTGCCTTTAACCCTGCAGCCTCTTTAGCATCGAGTCGCAGCAGCCGGATGCGATTAGAGCCTGTGAGATTCCTCGGGAATGCTGGACGGAAAGGCGGGATCGCCTTCCCGCACCGAATTCCCGGCTCCTCGCCCGACCCATGACGGCAAACGGGGTTTATTACCGAATTATTGATAAACCGGGGTGAGATGGGCAGGGATTTTCCATGGGGTAGGTCTGGCTTTGCTGCAGCACCCCCCCCCCCAAATCCACTCGGCATCTCTGCATCCCCCGCTTCGTAAAGCCTGTTTCCCTCACTCCCATCCCAGCTCCCTCATCCTTTCCCTTTCCCGGGACCCTAAAGGGCTTTTCAGGGCTCCGGGCCTGGGGGTTATTCCCAGGGTTTGCTCTCAGCCTGCCAGAGCTGTTGAAAAGCCCGTGGAATTGTGGCATAAAGCAGGAAAGGCCGGCAGGGAGGGGTGGACAGGGAGGAAAGATCACAGAAGCTTGGGAATATTTTTAGCCCGTCTGTGTGCCGGCTCTCCGGCTTCAAATGGCACTTCAATCCCATCTGACTGAGGGGCAGATTCCTCAGGGCTGCTCCTGTCCCCTGAAACAGGAGAGAAACAGGAAGGGTCCCCTCAGGGGAGTCACCAGCAGCCCCAATGCTACAAGACATCAGAGAATCCCCACCGGTGGGGTGGGAGGAAAACAGGTCGGGGGGGTTCTCTGCTGAAAAATTAAGTGCAATTCGTGCAGTTTGGGTGGTGAAAGACTGCAGAGAGCCAGGGCACCCAGCAGGGACCGGGGTGCAGTGGGTACTGCAGAGGGGGGCTCATCCCACTCCCAGAATGGTGACCCAGTTCCTTGCTCCGAGCTCACCTGTGTGCACGTGCTTTCCATAGCAGCAGGTTTTGGTTAAGAGCTTGCAGAATCAAGCAAACCTCTCCACAGGGGGAAATTTGGGAATGGAGTCATGAAGTCACAGGTTTTGCTGCAAACCTGATCCAGGGAAGCATCATTTCAGGATAACACCAGGATAAGGGACCAGTGCCAAGCGGGTTA